ATGAGAGCTACAGTTCAGGGGGAATATAAAGCTTTTTTTAGGGAAGAACAGAATCGGTGTTGAAGTGTGTCAGGTGCAGGTGTTTTTGCATTGGCGGTTCTCTTGACAGGTTTTCTAGCAGGTGGAGAGGGTGTTCTTTGGGTTAAGTCACGTTATTCTCTCTTTGTATTCAGATTTGTTTTTGTCAGGGAGTGATGATGTTATCATCATGACTGATACTGTGATACTGGTTATTTATAGTTGATATTTTGTGCGAAGAGAAAAACATAAGATAGATTTAAGTTTTATCATTTTTGTGTTGAAGAGTTTATAGAAATTACGTCTATGTTCATGGTATTTTATTTTATTACTATTATAAATCGTGCTTCTTTGTAAGAATGTAATTGCGTGTGTCATGTTCCCATGTCTTGGAGCCCTTGCATGAAACACAGGCACAAAAGCACAGCATGTATGTTATGCGCCTTCTCTTGTGCATGTTTGTCTGTTTAATGTTGTCTTTATGGGATGTGTGAACAAAACAATAATGGTGACAAAAAATATTTATAATTTTAGTAAGCTAATGGTTCTTCACTTTCTGGATATGTATTTTCAAAGATTCATGGGCTAGAGTTTTTTCCCCCTTTGTCTTTTTCTTTCAGTCAGATATCACAGCCTCAAAGAAATACAGTTGCACTTCATAAAGTTAAGAACCGTGGAGAGCAGTTTACTTTATATCCATCCCAGAGACAGATAAATGTTTGCGAAACATATAACAGTGGGCTTCAAAATAGCATGAAAAGTGTGGACCCAGACAGGGCAGCCTTTATCAGTGGTATGGCAATGCATATTTGCTCTTTATTTGGCAGATTGAAACCGATCTTTCTCCTCTTTTCAAATGTGCATTTATATGTGACGATGATATGTAAGTCTTCTTATGAATGGTCGTGGGTGTGCATACCTGTGTGTCTGTGTGTGCAACAGAGCCCTCTCAGCTGTGCTTGTGTGGATGAGTGTGCTTTTGTGATTTATGTGCAGGTGCATTTGTGTGTGGGTGTATCAGCCTGCCTGTGTTTACAGTCTATTGCAATTATTTCATATACTGTAATAATGTTTGCATACAACACACCAGACTTACCTGAAGACTTGATAAATCTTTGAGATGAAGCAATATACATTGGTGTAAGAGGTATGAAAAACAGTATTATGTGAGAAAACATTAAGCAGATATTGTAAGTTTGATGACATGTGTATTAAGTAAGATATATCAGAAGGCAATGATGCCAGTTTGGTTCAAATCAACACAGTAATGTTCACATTATTCAAATGATAATATCACATTTTTACTTTCCTTTCATGGATATTACCAATATGTTCTTTTCTTTTCTTAGTAAATAATAACAACTTTAACACACACAAAGTAAACAAAACAGCAAAGATGCTGTAGCTTTAGGGTCTCTAGAATGATACAGTACTGTCTCTGAGAAGAAATGCGGCTTTTGTACAGTAGCAGATTTAGAGTTTGAATAAAGTAGTTTGATAGGTCCTTTTTCCTTCTTTTTTTGCTTTCTTTCAGACTTTGCCATTTAGTCACAGTTAGATTTGCATTAGTTAAATAGACTTCTAGATATTTAGGTAAGTATATATATATATATATATATATATATATATATATATATATTATATATATTATATATTATATATATTATATATATATGTTAGTTATTGATAGAGAGGCAAACAGTTCAAGTAATGGAGTCACCATTTGCACAAAGCCAAACACTCTGATTAAGTTCACACCAAATACAATAGTTTCTTTTTTTTTCTAAGGGGAGCTGATACAATAGCCTTTGTGAAGCCTCAATTAGTGTCCATGCCAGGCCTGATGCCAGAATGCTCCATCACAAAACATGAATATAGAGGAATATATGGCAAAATTTACATATTTTTTGGTGAATTTTTATGAAGAGCTCATAAAAGGTCAAAGATTTTGTAGCGTTGGAAGGGGAAGAAATGGTTGTGATAATTGAAATTATAGTGAAGTTGTATATTTTGAAAGAAAAAAATGCATCTTTTGTTTATGATGCGTAAGAGTATACTGGCCTGTTATTGGTGTCAAAACAATTGAAATTTTGCAATTATTAGTAATCTTTTAAGATGAAATTTAGTCCCCTCTTCTCTCCCTCTTTCCTTCTCCTCTCTCCTCCCTCCCCCCCCTTCTCTCTCTCTCTCTCTCTCTCTCTCTCTCTCTCTCTCTCTCTCTCTCTCTCTCTCTCTCTCTCTCTCTCCTCTCTCTCTCTCTCTCTCTCTTCTCTCTCTCTCTCCTTCTCCTCTCCTCCCTCCTCCTCCTCCTCCTCCTCTCTTCTCCTCCCTCTCCCCCCCTTCTCTCTCTCCTCTCCCTCTCCCTCTCCTTCTCTATCATGACCCTGTGGCATTAAATGTCTTCTTCCTATACATTTATCCACATCTACAAAAATCTTGCAAAATGTCACTTTCTGAAGTTGACTTCGGCTTTTGTGAATTGTCTTGCACATCTTGAACAGGTGTTTTTAGATATTGAACTTGGTTTCTTTCTTGTATTATTTTTTTTGTGTGTCTTTTTTGAGATGTTTAGTATTCAGTGCTGTGAATGGTTGGCTGAAAATATTTGGATTTTTCTTTGCCTTTATAGGACTTTTTCTTATTATTTTTCCTTCTTTTCAGGGTTTTTTAGATTATCTGGCTTTATCATTGAATTCACTTCTCTGTTTACTTTGATTTATTTTACTTTATTTTATGTTATTGTTGATATATGTATATATATTTTTAGGGAGTGAAAGTAAAAAAATATATATATATAGGCCAGATTCAGATTTTTCTCTTTTTTTTTTTTAATTCTCTTCTAGGGTTTCTTATCAGGTTGTTTTTTGGAAGTCATTCTGAAGTCCCGTTACCTTTTTGCTTTTGTCGTCTTATCTGCTTAAGCACTTTGATGAAAGAAGGGAAAGGGAATCTGTCTCCATTGGCCTTCTTAGCTCATGATGTTGACATTTTAATATTTTTTTTTCTTACTTTGTTTCTTTTTATATTGTTTATTCATGCATCATGGCAAGGTAATGGAGAAAGAGTGTAGCCTCCTCAGGCCTACCTCCCCCTTGAAGATGGCTGAGTGCATTCTTCCCCTTCAGACTTGGCCACTCTGGTCTTGGCTCTCGAGGACGACATCGGCGCGGCCCTCTCAAGAAAGTCTTCTCGGCGCTCCAGGAGTCTCTTAGGCGTGTCTCTCCTTCCTTTTGCTTTGAGGGTTTTCTTCTTCTTTTCTTGGCTTTCTTCCCTTTCTTTTATTGAGTTTTTTGTTTTGTTTGAGTTGGATTAGTTTACTTTTGCCGTTTTCATTGTTTGGTTGTGTATATAGGAGTAACATGTATCCTATCCGTGAATGAAGGAAGGCAGTAATAAGAAGAATAGAGAATTGGATTTCTTTTGCCATGCATGTAATGGTTGCAGTGATGTTTGGAAACCCTGAATGCCCCCAAGGCAAGGCAAGACGCCTTGAGTTTCCTTTGTGGATGCTGCTCTTGGCCATATGTCTTGCCTTCTCCACGCGGCTCAGAGGTTCGTTTTTTGCTGCTTGACTTCAGAATTTTCATTTTCACACTGGCTTCCTTCATGATTTTTTTCTTTCTTTCTTTCTTTTCCCACTGCCACCAGTAGACACACTTTCTCCAGGTCTTGGAATAAATTTTGTTCTAGAATCTTGGATGAATCTTGTTCCTACGTACACACACACGCGCGCCCACACGCACGCACACACACACACACACACACACACACACACACACACACACACACACACACACACACACACACACACACTCTCTCTCTCTCTCTCTCTCTCTCTCTCTCTCTCTCTCTCTCTCTCTCTCTCTCTCTCTCTCTCTCTCTCTCTCTCTCTCATTTTCAGGTATTAATTTTATTGTTATTGTTATTTCCTTTTTGTGTTGATGAGTTACCAAGTAGCAAGACTACTAACTTCCATGCTTGTTCGCTCATGGTGTGCGAAATAGGCCTCACTAATATATTAATGACCTGGCCGCCACTCGGTTGGTTTTCTCAGTTGTGTTTCTTCTAATATTTAAAGATATTGTGTGTTCTTTTTAGTTACTGATTTGATTGAGAAATCAGAGATTGTTTTTAGGAACATTGTTAGGAGATTAAAAGTAAAAATCCAAATTATTTTGGATTTTTCATGCTATTGTCAACTTCCATTCTTTCTTTCCCCCCCCTCCTTTCCCCTCCCCACCTGCCTTCCCTCCCTCATTCCTCTCTTTCTCTCCCACTCTCATTCCCTTTCCTTTTTCTCCTTACCTTTCTTCTCTCTCTCTCTCTTTCTCTCTCTCTCTCTCTCTCTCTCTCTCTCTCTTCTCTCTCTCTCTCTCTCTCTCTCTCTCTCTCTCTCTCTCTCTCTCTCTCTCCTCTCTCTCTCTCTCTCTCTCTCTCTCTCTCCCCCCCCCCCTCTGACATAGAACTGTCCATCAATGATATTCGATAGGAAATAGACTGGAAAAAGTAACAAATATTTCTGATTTAGAAATATTGTATGCAAAAGTGTCTATGATTTGGTAAAGATAAAAACCTAGAAAAATGTATCTTTTTTAAAGAAAATATTATGTACATGCATTATTTGAAATAGCCTTTTTTTTCTCTTTTTTTCTTTTTTTTTTCTTTCTTCTTTTCATAGTTTGCCATTAGGACTGTGTAATGAATCCTTAGACCGCATGGCATTTTGACATAATGTGTGAGTTCAAAAGGAGCAAAAAGGGGCAATCTTTGTAGAAAATATGGCAACCAGGGAATGCTTATTTACTAAAAGCTTGGTCTTGTTAAGTGTTCTGGAGATCATGATGATACAAGGCGGATGGTGATAATATTGATGGAGAAGGAATTAAAGAAAAAGCACAAGTAGGCCTATGCAGGAAGCACGTGGCTGGGCGACGCAGGTGAGTGGCATAACGTAACGGCCGATGCAATCCTCGCCCCTTTTG